TTTTTTTTTTTTTTTGCTGCACTTGACGATCATCCTTGTTGTATTTTAAAGTGTTTTTAGTTGGGTGGCAATACTATACGAAAGATGCTGGAAGAAAAAAAAAAGTCAAGCTAAACTATTAAAATTCTATTGTCACTTGTAACTTTTTGAACAATTGCTTTCTTTATCACTAACAAAGTATTCATGTCCTCAAATCAACAACAGCTTAATTGTTGTTGTTGTTGTTGTTGTCTAATCGACAGCAATGATTGGCAATCAGAAATTGAGAAGAACCAAAAAAAAAACAACGAAGAGATGCCAAAAACGAAAAGAATTAACAAACAACATTAAGAATTGAATACAAAATGATAAAACAAGAAAAGGATTTTTTTTAGACAGAAGAGGAATGTCAGGTAGCTAGTCAAGAAGCAGAATTATCTGATGCACGATTTTTTGAGCCTACACCACGTCAAACTTCGTTTGGTAGATCAGTGATTCATATTGCTGTTGATTCATATATATGTGGTAAGCATTACCAAAGCAATAAAATGCTTCTTCAAATTTTAACAATAACTTAAATGTAAAAAAGAAAAAAAAAAAAAAAACAAGAAAGAAATTAAGTCTACTTTTTTGTTGTCTTTGTTATTTTTATTAGCATTTCTTCGCATAGTTTTTTTGTTGCAGAAAATGAAGTTTGGAGAGATTTTTTGTGGACCAAATCAAACCTTATCAAAGAAGCATTTGTGAAAAATGCTGCAACCGATAAAACACTGAAAACACAATATATTGCCACTCATAGTGGTTTGACACGAATATATCCGCGTTAGTTTTCTTCGCCCATTCATCCTGTCTTTGTTTTTATTTTACACTTTATTTTTTTTTCCCAGCTTATTTATAGATCTTTTTAGGTTATTTGTTTTCTTTTGAAACTTATTTAATCTGAAGTTCAAAATTATTTTTTGCTTAAAATAAATTTAAGTTAAAAAAATTTGTCTATTCAAACTGAACAAAATTCTTCCTTTTTAGCTGCATTTTTCTTCTGTACCATTACTATAAAAACTGAAATTATCAAAATTTTTTTGTTTTCTAAAAAAAAAAAAGTAAGAATTTGCAGCTCGAAAATGGGTAATGAAACCAGAATCAATTACGGTAGATCTGTTTGATCCAAGATATCGACCATGGTATATAGCGGCTCAGTCAGCACCCAAAGATGTGCTCTTCCTCATTGACATGTGTCTGAGTTATTTTTAATATGTAAACTTTGTCATCGTTAAAGTGCTCAAATTTGGACCATTTACTTGCAGCTGTTGAGCAATTGAAGCAGTATCAGTCAATGAGCTGTCTGCTAGATGCTGGTTTGTTGAAAAAAGCAATTTGTAGCACACTTAGAGTTTCAGGAGTGGCAGTGTCAAAGGTCAAACAATACATCTGATACGAATGACCATTCTACACATCCTGACAACTCTTGGTCCTAACGACTATATGAATGCAATTTGGTTTAACACTAAGCGTGAATTTGCTCTTCAAGGTTGTTCTGATGGATTCCTTCCAGCCACAACCATCAACAAAAGGGTTAGCCGGCCCGTTTCCGTCTTTGCAAATCTATTTACTTTTCTTCTTTAATCTTCCTGCCTGAATTACTTAATTTTTATTTCATTCACTACTTTTTTTTTAATTAATGTGGGATTTAAATATTTGATGCTATTTAAGAACTTGTTGAATAGTTTTAATGTACATTTTTTTTTAGGTTTTGAGGGAACACTTAGAAAGATTGGAAGAAAGAGATCAGGCAAATCTTTCTCCAGCGTTGAAACTTGGTTTTAAAGTGTTTTCTGAGGTAAATGATTTAAGACGACGTAGAGATTAGAACAAGCTACTTTATATTTTAATAATTAATCGGGCCATTACTTATTCAGAAAAAAGAGTTTTTCTTGTTTTGCAATTCTCCTTTTTGATGCTAAAGTTGTCAATGCAGTTGTCCTGATAAAATTATAGCAACTGTAAGTTGTATTCTTATTTATATTTTTTGCTTTTTTTTTTATCTGGAGCTGTTAACTTTATAGGGTTTTACATAAATCACTTATTCTGTTTTCTTTAAACGGCACTGAAATTACACT